CTATCTGACACATGGTCTTCCCACCCCCCACCCCTCACCCCTTTGTCTTTTGTCTAACTAACTTCGGGAAAATCCCAATATAAGAGCAGGGAGCAGAATGAAAGAAGCAGCCAGGAAATAGTATCATAATGCCACTTACAATCAGAGTGAAAGTATATCATCTTAAAATAGAAAACAGAAAATATATGGGAGATATGAGAAAATAATGCTTAAAAATGTACCTTTATGAATCTTTCACTGGCTTCTATGTTTTATGAATTTTATTGCTCAAAGCATCCCATATCAACTATAATTTGTAATATTATCTTTTAAGCTACAGTTAACCGTAGAGAAGAGGAATGGGAGTTTAGTAGTGAGTCACTTTACTCAGTTTTAAACATTCTCCTGGACTGTACTACATAAGGCAGAACAATCTTTTTCCAAATGAACTTACAGGCACAAACACAATCTGTTGATGCTTAAATGTGACCAATGTTGCATAATAGGCAGCTAATCAGTTACAGGAGATGATATCATCTAGGGTTTGGGGTTTTCTTTATTTTTTTTTTAACTTTTTTTGATTTGCAGCAACAACACTTGCTCAAGAACAAAGGACATATCTTAGCAGAGATTATGTCAACAGGGCACAAATATTTATTTTGTTGTCCTAACCAATGTCCTCAAAGATTTTCTATATCTTTTGCCAGTGACCCATAATTTGCTCAAGCTACCGTAAAGACTTCCCATAAATGTCAGTTAGGCTCCAGTGCTTCAGGCAGAGCGAATTTCTCGATTATTCCAGAAATTAGAGTTATTTATCTGTCTCAGCATGCCATAAAACTATGTAAGAAAGAACGAGAATATTCTGTTGATGCGTGAATGTAAGATGCATTGTTTGCTAGGTTGCTAGGTTGCAAGGATGAAGTATTGACATGGAAAAAAAGGGGCAGGAGTATATTATTTAAAAAAAAAATCCTTTCTTCAGTTTTTTCAAGGAAAATGTGGAATATCCCTCTTATTTTTCACAGATTTCTAGGGATCAGTTCAACACAGCAACACAGCAATTAATATTGTGCAATTCAGAACAGATCTTAAATAAGAGCTATGTTAAATAAAAAGCAACTACAATTACAGAAAGAGAAGAAGGAAAAAGGAAAACTGCTCTTACAATCTATTTTGTATTTCAGTAAGATAACAACATTGTAGCATTTACTAGACATGAAAAATTTAATATATGTAACATTTTCCCCATACAGATAAGCAATATTCATCTGACAATTTCACCTGACACACTGAAAATGATATTGGAAAATATTAATAATAAAACGTAGCTAATGCTTTAAACTGCTTTCTATATAATATGTATTAACAGGGCCATTTACTATGACTATAAATCTTTATATTTAGCCATTGATGTCCTTTAACAAAAAAGAAAGATATTCTCTTATTAAAGCATAGCTGGTAAAATGCATACTATACTCATCATACAAGTCAACATGTATTGTTTTTGTTGATTTCAGCCCTTATTATAATGTGCATGTTTTAAGACTGTAAAAGACTGTTTTAAGACTAGATTTGCTAGCATTTGGGATTTGCTAGTAGACAGGGCAGAATTCCTAACTAATCAAAAACTCTACTATCCAGTGTATAAGAAGGAATACTAGCTGATCAAAATGCATAAAATATCTACTTTGCTATTAGGAAAATTACAGCAAATTTCAGTTCCAAATTACAGTCTTCTAATATTTAAGCCAGAGAAGTCTCCTCCACTACCACTGATTCTAAGACCCCAAAGAAGACTTTGGCGTGCTCTGGATCTGCTTAATCAGTTTGATCAGTCATGGGACTTATGAAACGGGTACTGAGTAGTACACAGAAACAAGAAATCAGGTTAAGTACTTTCTGTTGGGTAGCACATCTTTAGGTATGTAAAACCTTGTTTTGTGTAAAACCTTTGGGGCCTAGAATATCTAAGATGCCTAAGCAGGGTAGGAGAGATTACTCTGGATCTTTACTGTGAAAGCAGGCATTTAGATCATGTCTCAACTATTTAATAAGAGTGGACAGGGACTGCTCTCTGGCCTAGAGGCCAGCCAGTCCAGAACAGTTTATCTGTAGACATTTACATTTTTTCCCTTTCCTCCGAAAAAAAAGCATGGCTATATCAAAATTACTTCCTGGGAGCAGTCCCTGGAGTATGACTTTTCCCAGACCATGCATGAGCACTGCTTGGAACTGTACTAGTTAGCACAGGCCAAAACTGCGGAGGCAGCGAGCTCACAAATAAGTGGTAAAGGTGATCACTGATCAGTGCTCAATCCTTGCTCTGAGCCTATTTTTCTTCCTTATTCAGATGTGACTTGAAATTCCACCTCAGCTGAAATCTAAGTACCCAAGTGTTTATTTGGCACTTTTCTACCCTATTCACTCCTTCAGCTACTCAGAGGTTTTCACTTTTAGCAAGGCCTGAAAAAAGGACGACCACTGTGGGAAGGGCTGAAGACCAGTCATACTGATCTAGGTTGCTTTGATGCACATCCCCAGAGCCTCACCTGCTACTTCTGGGAGCTGCTGGAGCGTTCTGCAGATGCAATTTGGCCCATAAACCTAAGGTCTATTTTGAAGAAGCCAGAGCGTAGGCGTAGGAAGGCTGAGAAGTATCAGTATCTCTTTCCAGTATGAGTTATGACATAACTGTATATCTGAAAATCTCTGTTTTTCTGTTGTAGTCAGGCAGGTAAAAAAGAGTATAGTTTCCCCAAATGGTACCAGTATATTAAAAATTTTGATAGAAATTGCAGGCAAGGATGAGAGGGTACAATAAAAAGGATATGGAGTGGGAGGTGCTTATCTGAGAAACAGATCTCAGAAGAAGGTATACTCACGCGGACTTTAAACATACAGACAATAGCTCAAATACAATTTTCATTCAAAGCCTGAGAGCTTGTGAAAAGATCAGAGCAGGAAGATGATGTCTATGAACTGAGAGTGGGTACATAAAAATGCTCATGGGAGCCTATGAGCAGGCTATTTATTTCTGGTCTTGAATAAACATTAATTTCCTGCTAATATAGACATACGGGTTTATTTGTTATCTTGTTACCTAGTATTAGGTGCTGTTCAATACCCTCCCTATAAGCTGATATAAATTTTTAAATGTGATTCATAAGCTTATTATCTTATTACTCTTAAGTCAATCCTATTTTATAAAGAGTAAATGTGAGTCCATATGAAATGGGTCTAGAGTGTTAGAGATCAGAAGGAAACATTTGTTAAGATTTATCTGCTATCAGAGCCAGAGTTCCTGCCTCCAACCAGTAGATTATGCTTGCTGAATAATTAAAAATAGAAAAACAGTTACTTTGCTTCTTTCACTGTTATAAAAGTCAATAAAGCAATTGAGCTATTAAAATATGGTGGGATAAACAGTCAATACTAGGAAACCAATTGCTGTTTAGAAGTAAGTTTATTTAAGAACAAAAAGTACACACATCACCTAATCTTCTGTCTCATTCATCATTTATTGCAGATAAGAACCCCGTGCAAGCAATTAAAATTGAATTTGTAATGAAAACATTCTTGTTCTACAGAGTGCAGTAGGTAAAAGCTACTATAAAGAGGTAATCATTAACCATAGATTAGTGATAAAGGTTGCACTTTATCACCTAGCAACATCACCCATACCTGCTGCCACTGCAAACAAACTAAAATATAAGCTTTGTGATTCTGGAACTACTACACTGGAATTAATTACATAATTTAAATTTTTACTAACACTAAAAAAAATTACAACTGATAAGATGAAACACGATGAAATTGTACCAAATCCTTTGCTAAATTACTCTTTCCAGGTGTCAGTTCTTGAACTTTTAGTTCTAAAATTTTTTTTTATTAACAATAGGTTTATAAAGAAGGAAAATAATTAGTTAATTATACTGCTTTTCAGCCTGTAATAAAAGAAATGTAGTTACCAAGCTTTTTAGATATTTCTGAATGAATGCAGGAAGAAAATTCTCAGTATATAACAACCTAGATAGTAAATATCTAGCCAGTGAATAAGGTACCTCAAAACAGAAAAAGTAGAAAAGAAAAATAAGAAATAAGTAAGTTGCTCTTGTACTTAGTCATAAAAGTGTTTCATCACCTTGGTCGCCTAGTGTTCAGTCTATTTTCGTATGGTCCCACATGTGAAGCACTTCTGTGTCTCAAAGACTCAGCTTAACTCTTATGCAAATAGTGCTACTCAAAGAGAACTGGTTAAAGAAACTAAAGTCAATGTTTTTATTTTATTTTGTTTAAATGATGATGATGATGATGATGATGATAGCAATAATCACAGCTCTTGCTGCCACGGCTACCCAGCATCAGATGACAACATCTTTAATGCATTTTATTTTGCCCTCAAATGTAAATTTTGTCCCTCACTGCTATAGATTTATCCCCTAGTTTACAGCTGTTGGTGTTCAGGCACCCTAGCGCCTGTTAAATGCTGTGGACTGGATAAGGCTTTATAGGAAGAGAAGCAGCACCATCTATCGTGACCTGAAGGCTTAGCTTTACACGATACAAAGAGCAAAGCAGGCCCGACCTCAGTTTGAAATTCTTTTTTGCGCTCATATTCCTAGACTTTTTTCCAAAACAGTTCCAAATGAGGTTAGAACCATAGTTTATCTATGAAGATACAGTGCTAGAGGGATGTGGTATGTGTGTATGTGTGTGTGGACGCAATGAAAAGGTGCATCCAAGACAGTTAGTTACCTGTCTACAAACTAAGGTAACATACCAGCATTAGCCTAGTGCTGACTGACTATTGCTTTTAAATGGCAATAATTTTAAATAGCTTGGCTGGGGTTTTCATTTTTGAAGTGGGAGGGTAGTCAACTTTGTTTTACTCAAGTGATATTCTCTTAGAATTTCATTTCAGAAGCAGCACTAAAGTAGGTGTACAGTACAGTATGTACTTCTAACAATGACAGTGCTATTGTCATCCATCTATACTTCTGATTCTTCTCTTTTTCCAGACTGTCTACAAAGCCTGGCTCTGTTCCCAGTATTTTGAAGTCACACAGTTTCACTGCAGCAACAGAATTCCTTGCAAGCAATACTGTTTGGAGGTTCAGACAAGGTGTCCCTTTATATTACCTGACAATGATGATGTCATCTACGGAGGACTATCAAGTTTCATCTGTACAGGTATAGTACAGAAAAGCTCATCTTGCTTATTTTCGTAAGTTTAAATGCGAAAGAGAATGTATATAGCATTTCCTCTAGTAGCTTTAAGTATGTGACTCAGAAAGTTTTCCTCATTGCAAAGATTCTTAGAGGTGCTAGAGTTTGAGCCTAGGTTTAGTAAGGCAAATTTTCGCTACAGCTTGCCACAGTCATTAACTTTGCAAAACAAAGTTGCTAAAATAAATTTGTTCTGGTTGTTTTTTATGCTTAGTAATTTTAGTGGAGGCTTCTGGTAGCTCTGTATCATGAGCTAAGACAAAAAGGCAAGATCTGTTTTTACTACATTCACCTTTCTTCACCTATATTCTTCCATCAGATAAATGAAGTAGTATCTGAGGAGTAGCTTGCAAGACCGTGGGCCACTCTTGGATGGTGAATTCGGAAGGAAAGGGCTTTCATTAGTGAAGAATTATGAGGATTAGCTGTTCCCCTGTGAAGATCTGATCTTTTTATCTCTTCTTCACTCTTGTTACATTCTGGGAGCATTTTTAATTAAACACTATTGCTAGTATAGGCCTACACTATGTTTAATAAAGTAATATGTTTCCTTTTACTTTCCATTCTGTTTCAAATATTATCCCAGAATAACTCAAACAGAGGTCTCAGGTACCTCACACTTTCACATGCTCAGCACTGAGTGGATCTTCACTTACACAAAAATTTAGCTTGCATCAGTGTCATCTGCAGGATCCTGGTGCCTATAATATCATCCCACAATTTCAAAGAGGTTTAGGCACCTTATTCCCATTAAACCAAACAGAAGAGATTTCAGCACTTAGATCATTTAACAGCCTGGTCTGAATATCTAAAATTGGGCATTCTCCACTTCAAAGTAGGGCTGCACTGGAAAGCTTGATACTAAATGAGTTGCTCAATGTCAGCTAGTTAAAAATAGACTAAACAATAAAAATTCAGGAATGTTCTATACCAGGCAGCCATAATAATTGTGGCAACCAATTTCACTTTATACTCTGTATTTGGATTTAGGCAGATTATGATAGCAAGATTTTTACTATGGTCCTGCTTGAAGATTAAGTCTCCTGCACAAAATCCAGCAATATTTATCCCTATGCAAAAGACAGTGTAAAGAACTGTAAGCTGAATTCTAGTTTAGTAGTCATCAATAGGGTAATAGTGCTCAGCACCTGTCTTCAATGCATTTCCTAAATACTAATTCTCTTCCAATATGAAAATATGAATGTGGAGTAAACAAATGAGGATTATTTTCCAGTTTAGGATAGGACAGTACAAGCTGGAGTGAAAGACTTAGGGCATTTTATTTACAACATTTATGCATATAAAAATGTAGGGGGGTGTGTGTATGTGTGTGAGTGCGTGTATGTACACGTGTGTGCACACTTGCACACATACACAAGGACAAAGAATAAAAATCTAATAAACAAAAACATCTTAGTAACTATTCCAGAACATTTCTTAGGAAATACATATCCACTTCTTCATTTCATTTTCTGGGTCATCTCCAAGTCCAGATTCATTCCGAAAACATACAAAGTAGACGACTTTTCAAAGATTCCTGACAGTTAATATCACCAAGTTCAGGATGAAAAGGAGATTTAGGGAAGGATTAAATTAATTTTATTGAAGATATTAATAGTGTGTCTGCATATGAACTCTGTGACTAAGCTCCCGCTGCAGTTGATGAAGACATGGTGTATACAGCCAGAAGAGCTGAGCTATTTAGTTTATCCTATTTATCTATCAGCTGACTGACTCTCTAGACCTCACTGATTGTACTGTGTACATATTTTTGGCTGAAGCTGGTTTTAGTCACTAAGGTCTTAGTGACTAGGGCAGTGCACATAGTTGCTTGATTTTTTCTGTCTGCTTGAGACAGGTGTCACAGCGGCAGTGGGACAGAGCACTTACCCACAGATCCATAGGAAACAGCATATTGGCACTAGGCAGTTGTGTGCAATAAATAATGCTGAGGAGAGGTATGAGGCTGCAAGTCAAACTTTTGCCAGGATACAGGCCCATTGCCACCATCTTTTTAATCAGTAACTCAGTGTAAAAACACTTCCTGCCCCTGAACAACGAGAATTTAAGAGTAATACCTTCTGATAAACCAAAGAATTAAACTTTTCTGCAGCTTAATGAAAATAGAATTATTTCATGTAAACTCAAACGTGCTCAACAACAGTCTGGAAATACTCTAACTCAGCACAGCTGGTGGCCTGACAGGTTGGATTTCTTCTGTAGAAAACTTCCTGAAAGTGGGTGTCCCGCATCTTGAGGGATCCTTTCTCCTGCTGTACTTTCTGTGAGTTCCTGGCTAGTAGACATGTTCTCAGAATTTCTAGTTGTTGATCCTGCTGTTGCTGAGCTGCATGAAGTTTATTAGCAAAAAAAAAGAGACAGTCAGGTTGAAGGTGGGACTTGGGATTTAGATGTTATGACTGGTTGTCTCGTGTCTCCATTTGACTGAAGTTCACTGTGAAGCTGGCTCTGGTGTTCCACTACCAGAAGTAAAGCAGGAGTAAATTTTGTGTTCAGGGATTCCTTATGAACCATATTTGGCCACAAATCCTCACTCACTTAAATCAGGCCTGAACATCTCTTTTCCTCCTAACTTTGGTAATATCCCACAGAGAGCAAAATGCTACCAGTTCTTTTTCAAAATGTTGACTTAGATTTTAGAAAGACCTAGCAGGAACTGAGTTAGGTTGTGCTGCAGTGAGACTTTTTTCCCGCTATAAAACAAATGAAAGACTGTCAGGCTGCCTAAGGAATACTATTAGTTATGAAATATTAGATGATGCTTATGTGATGATTTCTCTCTGCTAAATTGTGGGAATTTGGGGATCCTTTTTTTCAACAATAACATCTTAGAAGCAACAGTTTTATAATCAGGATTTCTCTTCCTCCTCTCCATGGTAACAGACCATTTCCTCTAAGGTCCAGTAGAGATTTAGGTTAATGGAAAGACAGAGGATTGATTCCTGTAAAAAGTTTCAGTGCTTTGTGGAAGCCAAGTAAGATGAAAAGGTATATTGGTTATAGCTGTTTTTACTTGATGTTGAATACAGCACAGAGCACAGGATGTAAATATAAATGTTACACGCTGTTTTCCAATTGCAGCTAGAAAAGAGGTTAGGCTGCTATTGTGACACTCAATTTTTGCCTTCCCTTTATAGCTGCAGACTAATTTGTAGTAGCAGGGCAGAGACACCTAGTGGAAATAGGGGGACAAATCAGCATTGAGAAAAATAAGCTAGATCACTTTCCTTCTTTGGAAATATTATTCGTCACATTGTGAAATGAATAAATATCAGACTAGCTTAAAAACAATAGGAAGCTGTGACAGTAAACCCATATAATTTTTTTTCTTTTAGGGTAAGATTTTCTGGAGGCTAAAGGAGGCAAAATAAAAGTATGAAGGCTATAGAAAGGAATAATAATAAAAATAGCAGTTTTATTCTTCCTTGGAAGGTCCACGTGATGAGAAAAGAGCATAGGAATGACTTTTTTTACTCCTCAAGCAACTTTAAAATCATTGTGATGTTAGAATTCCTAAATGGATGTATTTTAAAATGCTTCAAAAAGGGAAATATGGTTATAAGAAGAGTCACTACATGTGACAGGTTACAGACATTTGTCTTAATGCTAAGAATCATATATAGCAGTGGTATACTTTCCCAGTACTTTGACACCATTAAATTAAAGCCAACAGGATTTTAAGAAACATTAAGGTTGTAGTTTATGATATGGATTAATAATGACTTCTTGAACTCCCATAGGACTGGTACAATGGATAAGAAGTAGTTTAGTCTGAGAAAGTCTTACTTAAATACCTGAAAGCACACAGCTGGAATAGTGGAGGGGCTGCTACACTCATTCTGTATCACTGGAACTTATCTTTCAGAGAAATGCATGTGAGGCTGTGGGAGAACTGTGGTACAAAAGAAAGTACGTGGGTCATTAATCAAAGCGATCAGAATCACAGCGTGGTCCTGATTATGGGGAACATGCAGTTAGCTAGAAAAAAAGCTTTTTTTCTTTCTTTCTTTCTTCTAAGAAATAGAGAGAAAGAATTGCCTGGGTTTTTCCATCAGGCATCAGGCACTGTTCTGGAACACATTGTTTTTCATATTCATTAAAATTGAATGTTTGCTATGAGTTTAGACCTTTGGAGTTTATACCCATATGATTAAAATTTCCAGTAGTTCCATCTGACATTTCTCAGTGCAGCTCAGAAATCTAGAATTACCTATTCAAAACAGAGCCTTATTTAAGAGAGATAATATTGCTGTTTAGGCCTACATTCACACATGCACACAACAGATTACAAGTGAGTCCCATGTAAAGTTCCAGGACAAGTTTTTGACTTGAGACTTCTATGAAAACACTGTGAATACCAGTGGGACTGTCTTCTTTCGTAGATTAGTCATTTTTAACTTTTTTCCCTGTGTGAATGGTATATGTGAAAGTTTTCTTTCACACATGTTCTTGGAGTGTGAAAAGAAAGTTGAAAAACGAATGACTGCCTATGCACAGAGCCCTGGGAAGAGACTACTAATATCTCACAATTCCTGCTTTTCCCATGCCTCTCTGACAGCTGGTTTGTGGACTGGCCCAGCCCATGGTCTGCTTCTGTCTGGCTTGTCTGCCATCTCCCAGCAGAGAGAGAGAGAGGATGTAGAGAGCATAAATGCTTCCATCACAGCCACAATCACCCCCTCAGGCCTTCAGCTTGCTCCACCCAGAAAACCTGAGAGCTCAGTCACCATCCGATGAGCAGCAGAGATGACCAAAGAGAGGGGAGAAGAGATTACTTCTGTCCCACGTACTTGGTTCTTCCCTGAGCAGCTGGGATATGCCATGGCCACCTACATGATAGCCGTGTCTAGGTTAGCATTCTAGCTCAGATCAGGAGTGCACTTTTGAAGAAAATCTCCTATTCATAATCCCTGCTGTTTGGCCTGCACTGAGGTGAGGTCTTG